ATTTCTACAAACATTTTCATCGCAACATTTTAGTTGACACAAATCTTAATGATTTTGTTATTTTTTTTACAATAAAGATATTATTCATTAGTTTCACGTAGAAAGTCTTTATTTATTAATACAAAGGCTAAAAATGTAGGAAAAATGAATTAATTAAAAATAATATATAAACACATTAAATAATAAATTTAAAAAATTAGTGTGTGAACGCATTAATTGTCAAATGATTGTGAGACCGACAAATGTCAATTACGGTGTGAACGCATTTATTATAATGCTCTCTTTTAATATATAAGGGATGTATTTTATTTAATGTTTTAGTTTTCTAAAATTCCTGCTCCATAATCGTTAATTTTATAAGAATATATAGTTAATTAAGCTTTAAAATATTTTTGTTCAAAATAACACATGATAGTAAATTCTTAAATAAAATTAAGTAAAAATAAACAAACCTAGAAATTAATAACATTTTTTCATATGAAGAAAATCAAATTGTACCTGTAAACAATAAAAATAATATATATTACAAAGTGACATCTTCACTTGGTACCTGAACTATGTTTTTAATCGATTTTGTGATTTTTATTTCTTTTTAAAACCTTTTTGATTTCTGATTTTCTTCTACCAATTTGATTTTGTTTCTAATTCTTGGTCTGATATGAAAAATTTATAAAAATGCTAATATTTGACTAAACTAAAGATTTGATTTTACGTGTGGTGTTTTTCATCCCAGTTTCTTTAATTCATAATCAATCNATTTCTACAAACATTTTCATCGCAACATTTTAGTTGACACAAATCTTAATGATTTTGTTATTTTTTTTACAATAAAGATATTATTCATTAGTTTCACGTAGAAAGTCTTTATTTATTAATACAAAGGCTAAAAATGTAGGAAAAATGAATTAATTAAAAATAATATATAAACACATTAAATAATAAATTTAAAAAATTAATGTGTGAACGCATTAATTGCCAAATGATTGTGAGACCGACAAATGTCAATTACGGTGTGAACGCATTTATTATAATGCTCTCTTTTAATATATAAGGGATGTATTTTCTTTAATGTTTTAGTTTTCTAAAATTCCTGCTCTATAATCGTTAATTATATATGAATATACCGTTAATTAAGCTTTAAAACATTTTTGTTCAAAATAACACATGATAGTAAATTCTTAAATAAAATTAAGTAAAAATAAACAAACCTAGAAATTAATAACATTTTTTCATATGAAGAAAATCAAATTGTACCTGTAAACAATAAAAATAATATATATTACAAAGTGACATCTTCACTTGGTACCTGAATTCTGTTTTTAATCGATTTTGTGATTTTTATTTCTTTTTAAAACCTTTTTGATTTCTGATTTTCTTCTACCAATTTGATTTTGTTTCTAATTCTTGGTCTGATATGAAAACTTTATAAAAAAGCTAATATTTGACTAAACTAAAGATTTGATTTTACGTGTGGTGTTTTTCATCCCAGTTTCTTTAATTCATAATCAATCACCGTATTTGTTGTTATTGTGTACCAAAGCCTCAACCATGACCAACTTCAGTAAGGTACAAAACTTTCAATTTCTACAAACATTTTCATCGCAACATTTTAGTTGACGCAAATCTTAATGATTTTTTTATTTTTTTACAATAAAGATATTATTCATTAGGTTCACGTAGAAAGTTTTTAATTTATTAATACAAAGGCTAAAAATGTAGGAAAAATGAACTAATTAAAAATAATATATAAACACATTAAATAATAAATTTAAAAAATTAGTGTGTGAACGCATTAATTGTCAAATGATTGTGAGACCGACAAATGTCAATTACGGTGTGAAAGCATTTATTATAATGCTTCTCTTTTAATATATAAGGGATATCTTATTTAAACTAATCAAACATATAATATTACATTAATAATGTAAAGTCCAACTTAAAAATCTTACCTAAAAGATGTTGCGATGTTTTTGCTTTAATAATACAGATCTTGTACTACATTCATAAATGAGATTGTCACTAACAGATAATCATGTAAAGAATGCATAAATATTTTTATAACTTTTTGAAAATAAAGAGTTTAGTTTTGTGCGTAGTTTACAAATTTTTGAAAATTGTATATAAATTAGGTTTAATTTTGTTCATGGTTTGTTTTAATTATTTTCCTAATGAAATATAACTAGATTTTAAGAAAATATGGACTCCTATTATGCAAATAAAATTTAATTCAAATACTTTTAAAATAGATGAGAAATAATTTATATAAAATGTAATTTTACACGTTGAAATGTTCTAAACGAAACGGAAATTTATTTTGGAATATTAGATATATTCATTTTTTTGTCAATGCAAAAATTAATTTTTAATATTAATCTAAAAGTATGTTTATAATTATTTTAAGTTTGATTGCGTATTATAAAATAATTATTTTTAAATTAGATATCATATTTATTCTTTAATAATTGTAAATAAAGAAGTTATTTTATATACTTATTTCATATGATAAGTTATTCTTTATATACGCAAAATAACTACCTTAAGATCCATTGTCTTAAGTGATACATTTTTTGTTGTGTTTTTTTACCATTGTTGTCATCATCTTCCTCTCCTCTTCTCTCTCTCGTGAATCTTTTTTATCCCCTTTCAAAAAAGACTTTGATTCAGTAAGAAAAAACACTTTAGTTTGGTTTTGTATGTGCATGTAGGACCATAACTGATGTTACATGTGAATTAGTGTCGTTGACATCGTTACTATGAGAATTATCATTTTACTAGCGTACTGTGCAGTGACAGATCCTAAGATCAATTATTAGGGGTGTGTGAGAATTTGGGCATTGGCCCAATATAACAATAGCTTAGAAAAATAAAAGAAAAAACACGCTTCAAGTTATTCGAAATAGAGTTAAAATGGGTCATATGATGGGATTCTTAACCAAATGAACTACCGGATCTTCAACTGTACATGTTCAAATGCTATCAGTTAATTTAAATCTATGTCAGATGAGTCAAGTTGTTTATCTTTTACAAATCTCCATATTGTTATAAAAAAAAAAGTATTTAAATGGGTTGAATACATGTTGAGGAATAAAAGTCTGAATTGAGAATCATGAAAAAGCTCATATAAGACAAGATAAAGATGGCAAGCATTAAAGTGGTTTGAAGACTTAGTATATAATTGAAGTATTTATCTAAGTATTTCAGGTATTAAATAGAGAAATGCTTCTTGATAAAATGCTTCTTGCTTACTTGCCAATGAGTACTGTGTTTTTCTCTAGAATTTGTATTAAATAGAACTAAAATAGGAAGAGTATTATATGCTGTAAACATTTTCTTTGATCTAATGAAACTTGAGAAACATGAATATCTTTTACCAGATATAGCGGTTAGAGCCGCGAATTGGATTACTAATCCGTTGTGCATTTTTAATTGCATATTGGTTTTGGGTTAGAGAAGGAGATTGAAGGCCCACAACCATCATCACCATCGAACTTTGTTTTGTGATAATTAATTAGTCGGCCTTTTTGTATTCTTTTTGTCAACACTATCTACAGTGATGAAACACATATACATTGAATGTCATGTGGTCGAGAATGAAATTTTGTAGAAATTACGTACATGTGAAGTCACAAAAGGCTTTATTTGTTTTCTTACTTCAGAGTTCAGAGTATACATCTTGGTCAAATATTTGAACAAACTACACATCAAGGTAACATCATAGCAATGAATTTTATAAAAGGCGAGATGTGTTTCTGAAGTTTATGATTAGGCGAATTATGTAACTGAACTGTAACATAAAAAGTACTAACAATTTAGCAAATAACACACTGACTATCGATTTGATTAGTTAGAAGTGTGATTAGCGCCTAATATATTTTTATATGGTCTGAAATAGTAATTATTGTCAGAGAACATATGTATACTCAATCTTTTTTTTTCGGTCAAAGAACATATGTATACTCAATATGATTGACTTTTTCAACAAAAAGCTAAATAAATATATACTATACACCAGAAATACTATTGATAATTCAATAAATAAAAATGACTACGTCAATCAAATACGAAAAGTTTAAATTAATATAATTCGGAAAAGTGAAAGGAATATGTTATTCTGAAGAGGAAGAAGGAAAAAGATTTGATAAATTTATAAAAGATAATACATTATCAGGTAAAATTGTTTTCCAATTTAACCGCTGGTCATCATCATCCTCACAAATTCATCATAATTGACTTGACCATCACCATCCAAATCTGCCTCCTTGATCATTTGAGCAACTTCTTCATCTGTTAGCTTCTCCCCAAGATTGATCATCACATGCCTCAACTGCAACATAATAAAAGTTTATGATATTAAATGATGTTTCTGAGTATAATAAAACACAAAAGTGTATTTTTCGTAGTTTCTTAATATTCTTGATTTTGTTTGTCAACTAATATACGTGTTGTAGCCATAACATCTTAAAAATGAAGAAAGTAATCAAGAGAAAAAATTTAGTGGTTGTGAAAAGAATTATGTATAAATATATTTTGAACTAGGTGAGAGTGAGACATATGCTCTGCCCAATAAACAAGTAGAATCATACTCATCTTAAATGTTGTTAAGCTTTCTAAAGTATTTCTTTTGACCTCGTTATCCTCCAAAAAGTCACAATGCCAGCTAGCGCGATGTTTCAAATAATTTACCTTGCCTTTCTACGACGCAAGACTGACACTTTTTGATTAATTAACAATATAAACAGCCATATCTTGTTGTTATTTTCCTGTCTAAATTTCAAAATGTATTTTAGAAAAAAAAAAATGAATAAGAAACCTGAAAATCTCTTGTAAAACTCGAAATATCGTATACCCTTGTTGTCTGGTGTTTGTCATTAACTCAAAAGATTCTAACCTAAAATGATTTATAGCTGGATTTAAACTTTATCAATTTTTTATAACAACCTTTATCTATTTTACCCTTCATCAAATTAAATGCACAACTGATAGATTTGTTTTAAGAAATTGGTTTATATAACAAATCTACGCATAATTAATCTACTTTAGACATTGAACTATTAGATACAAATACAATCACTTAGTATAATTGTTTATCGATGTCTCCAATCATTGAATTAAAGAAAATCGTAATTAGACCGCACGTACTGAGTGTTGTACTACAATACGCAACAGACATCGAATTTATATTTGTTAAAGCATAGTTAACTACGAACCTTGTTACAAAAAAAAAAAAAACTACGAACAATATGCTTGACAAAAATCAGGGACAACTAAAACACTTAGAGAAGTTAAAAAAAAAACACTTAAGGACCAGAAAAGGAGAAGCATAAATGGATTATGATTTAATTATGATAAAGAAAAGTGTGATTAATTACTAAATGGAGTATATGCTAACCTCGCTGGCCGAGATGTAGCCATTTTGGTCTTTGTCAAACACTTTGAATGCTTCTTTCAGCTCCTCATCTGCATCAGTTTCCTATAAAAGAAAGTTAATTAACAAAGACAAAAACCTAATATGAATCAGTTGATATAGTTTCATACAAGTAATGTAAACCTGGATTTTGTTGGCCATGAGATTGAGGAACTCAGAGAACTCGATGGTGCCGTTACCATCTGAGTCGATCTCACTGATCATATCCTGAAGCTCTTGTTCGGTCGGATTCTGATCCAACGAGCGGATCACAGTGGCAAGTTCATCAGCAGTGATGCAACCATTTCCATCCTTGTCGAACAGACAAAACGCCTCTTTAAACTCCATGATCTGTTCTTGCGTCAGTTCTTGTTGCTGTTGTTGTGTCTTGTCCATCCAATTAAAACTGTTGTTTTGAGAGAGAAGAGGAGAAGAGCAGAAAGTAAAGCTTTGAAGTACTTCAACTCTCATTCTCTGCTTTCATATTATATACATGTAGAAGTCGTTGCTTTCGACTTTCATGCTTTGGACTCATTCACTTTTTCCATTTTTCTTCTTTTTTTGAGAAATCATTATTTTGTGGAAATTTTAATTCAAGTCACATGACTTAATGATATTATTTTCCTTATAAAGATTTCAATACGAACGCGTCAGGTGGGATATCTTTAGGCTAACTATAGTGAATTGAGTGAAACTCTTTTAAAAATCCTTTTTAGCGTAGAAAAATCGCACACATATCGGTACTATATAATAATAAGTTCAATTTTTTTTTTCTCCCAAACTATTTGGCTGAGTTGAAATTGAAGATCAGCATCAATCACGTCAATTGTCTCAATAGTTATATGTTCTTTTTATTTAGATGAAAAACCAAAGAGAAGAATAGATTGAAGAAGAAGAGATAAACGTAATCTGGTAAACCTGATGTTTGCATAAATTTTATTTTTTGTCGGATAAATAAAATGTAGATGGTTGTGTACATTTACTAATTATAGAATTCGTAACAATATATGAAATGTACGTATTATATTAGCATACTATTTGTTAATTTTCGGTATTGAGTAACTAACATTTTCACTAAAAATAATGTTTTAACCAAAAAATACTAATTTATGTGTATGTAAATGGGGGTGGGTTTCGACAGCTGTAGGAGTAGATGAGGAGCAGACAAAGCGCATTGAAGTTGTAGACCAAGCACTTGCCTTACGGGAAAACGTGTCGATCTATTTTTTTCCTGATTATTTTTCTGTTTAACACATTCTTCCTGTAAACAGAAAAAAGATTCCTTAAACAAAAAAAGTTCCCCGGCCAAATCAGATCACCGCCGACTCGCCGACCTTTTCACGTCGTAGATCCATCATAATATGTGTATATAATAAGGTACAAATCGAGAGTACTTGTAATAATGTGGCTAGTCAGACACTTTATCACTTAAGATTGCTCATAGTTGTGATAAATAAAAACATACAAAGTTGTTGGCTTAATTCTTCTTTTTCTACTAGGTTAAATTTTCAAAATTTATTTGTAATAGCTAACATCTTTAGAAGATTTGTCTTTTTCTTTCTTAAACGTGATTGTGGTACGATCTAATAGAGTATGGTAGCAAGAATATGATTTTTATTATAAATACGTTCTTAAAGAAATATGTCTGTATGAAATTTATTTGACTATGATATATTTGAATTGTTGAGATATACTTTGAACTTTGAAGGTGTTGCCTAGTTCGTGCGGAGAATATTTCAATTCATTATATTATGGTATACGTAAGTGTAGATAAAGACTGTTTCTTAAAAAAAAATAAAGATCAGACTCAGCAACAACCAATCCAACACCATGGTGAATAGACTTTGGACAGTGGATTGACCTTGTCCTCGATCATCAAAAGTTTCATAATTAATTATCCAGTACTAAAAAGTCACTGATGCAAAGTCTGAAGCGAAATTGAACACACAAACAAATTATATATTGATGTAATTCGTTGATATTTCTACTGAAATAAACAAACTTATCTATACATTAAAATTTAAAACTATATATATCTTTCAAAATATTTTACTCGAAACCAACTAATGGACTGTATATAAATGTGTTTTTTTTTTGTTTCTAGTCAAATTAATATCATGACTAAAAAATTCAAACTACACAAGGGTTGATTACCAACCCCTAAATTCAACAAAATCGAACGTGTCATTCATTGCAACATGCTGCTCGAATGTTAATATTTGAACGTATTAAATGGAGGAAATGATGCACTGAAGACAAATATACTGTCATTTAAAATGATCAAGTTCTTTTCTGATTATATGGTGACATGGTGTTGATAGCAACTTAGTGGTTAACTAATTTACACGATAGTTTAAACAGTCATTTGCATTCTTATTAATATATGGTCTTGATAGAATTTCGTAAAACTAACTTATATAATAAAGTGCCAAATATGGCATATACCATTAGCCAGTAATGACACAAGCTTACGTGTAGTGTTTGGATGCGTTTTGATTTTGTAAAATCAAAAGTAGTACTATAATGCTAACCTTATTATACGCTGTGGTGACCCATTTATATTTGACCTTTTGGTTCGCCAAATTAATATTAATGAAGATGTTGAATGACACCTTAGAGACTAGAGTCCGTATATACTACTGTAAACAAATAATTTGTTTTTTTCTCGGCTACGCATTTTCATGATGTGATGCGAAATGATAATTAGAGGTGGTGATCGGTACACGGCATTTTTAAACTTAAAATACTAGATCTAAACAATCATGTTTTCTTAACATTTTGATGTCTATAGCAATCTAATAAGAGGACGGCTGTATAAATCCAAATTAATGTCTACAGCTTAATTTTGTTAGTTTTCCCCAAAAAAACTTAACATTTCATTTAACTTGTATTAAAGAATAATAAAATTAGTTTTTATCGTATTAATTTGATTACACTGGTTTCTAGTTTAATCATGAACATATCACATGAATTATTTTGTTTAATTACTACTCCTTCTACTTCTAAATAAATGTCATTTTACCATTTTTTTGTTTCAAAATAAATGTCATTTTACATTTTAATGCAATTTTTCACATATAATCTCATTCTTAATCATATAATCCTTCTCTTTCTTACTCATTCTTAATACGTGTGAAATATGTCAGAGTGACACTTATATTGAAACATGGAGTATTAATTAGTTAATTCACTCCTCAATAATATCTTGTGCTGTATTATTATACTTTTTTGTTTTATCCATTATTATTAAGTTAGTTTTATATTACTTAACTTATATATTGTTTTATGATATTTATAAGCTATGACAAATAATAGCGGTGATAATAATAGTGGTGTAAACAATGGTGTGTCAAATAAGATAGATGTGGTATCAATTTCTCAGAGATAGGTAAATATTTTTCTAAGTTTATTTTTCTAAATATTTATATATGTATTTTGTTATAAATTAATATCAAGTTGAGATAAAATTTCTGCAATTATTCTTAATTCACTTTATAATTTTTAATAGTAGTTATTTTATTTATTCAAAAAAGCAAACAAGTTTAAATTTTAATTTCATACTTGTTAATATAGTGTTAAATACATGTATATAATATTAATCTACAACTGATTTTTTTATCAATCTTACTTATAAAAAGGATTTACAGCTTAATTTTACAGCCAAATTTTTAAGTCAATAAATCTAAAGCTACATCAACAAATTTACTACTATAGTTTACGGTAAAAAAATTAAACCAATAACCTCTGCCAATTGGACCCTTAAAATAGTTATCATTTGCATAAGGATTGGAATTTGAGGTCTATTATATCGAAATCCAACCAAAGAGACTTTAAAAGTGGAATTTTTTTTATTGTCATTCAGACCTTATCTGTTTTTGTTCCAACGAAATATACTCTACTATCTATTTCGATCACGTACCTGTTTTGTATAGAGTACGGTCATCAATTATTTTTCTGTAATATCCATTTTATCAAAACTTCTTTCGTTATAATTTAATTAGTTTTAAGCTATGTATTTTATTTCTTATCATATACAATATTACAATTTTATTAGATTTTAAGAAAATATATATCTTTAACTAGTCAATTTTATATATTTTTTTCAAAAAGAACATACAATTCTATAAAGCATATTGCTGCATTCTATGAGTCATGTGTTTGGATTGTTTCTAATACTGAGAACATCTTCGAAGTCCATGACCTTGAACACCACAATTTGCACTTGCCGAGATAATGACGTGACATATGAAAGCCACCACGATTTGAATTAGATCAACCACGAGATGAGTTGTATGATGTTGTTGATTGTTGTGGCCGAACATTGGTGGGATTGGCAGTCATTGGTGTGTTGATATCGTGTGATCCAGTGAATTTTAGAGTGTTCTCACCATTGATAGTTTTTCATGAAGTTCATCAATGATAGAAACGTCTCTTCCGTTGACCATCTCGACGATTGCTCTGTAATCTTCACCAAGACCCATGTGATATAGTCAAGCAAGTCTTCATGTTTCGGAGGAGAACCAATAAGAGCAAGCTGATCAGCCTTTTCAATGATATCACACATGTATTCATTGATAGACTTTGTTTCCTTTATTGTCATCCTTCAGTTGTTGCCTTACTTGTTTGATTTGTTCCCTGGATGGTTTGCTATACATGCAAAATAGAATCTTCCATATTTTACGGGAAATATTAGTTCTAGCAACGATAGACTGAATCTCAAGAGACAAAGTGCCAAGTATTGCACTGTATAAAAGTTTGTCTTGACGTCTTCAAGCTGAAAAGTTGGGGTTGGGTTGCTGTTATCCTTTCGTTGTTTTAATTGTTGCAGGAGGTGATTGATCATCATCTGAGATGAAAAAATGAAGTTCATGAGCTTCAATAAAAACACTGATTTACAAACGCCAAGTTATGAAGCTGTTGACTACCAGCTTTGTTATGTTTGACATATTGAGAAAGATGAGAATTGTTTTTGGATCAGTGATGTTAAACACTACCATACATTCAGAGGTGTGGGAGGATGAAGATTCGGTCAGCATGATGTCGACACGAGAAAAAAAAAATTGATGAGAAAAAAAGAAGATTAAGAGCTTAAGTCAAGCCTATTTTGATACCATATAGAAATATTATCAAAGGAAGATCATATTGATATCTTAGTTCGGTATATATACAACATCTTAGTTTAGAGATAATACTGAATCTATACAAGATAATGACTACATATCTCTAAGCATTATCTTATGTTAATACATCTTATAGATAAACATTATCTATCTAATATTCTATAGACTCATAGTTTTACTTTTTTTTTTTTTTTTTTTTTTTGGAACAAACTCATAGTTTTACTTGTATTATATTAAATTTGTTGTTGTAAATTTACATCCTTTAATCTACTAAAGTTTTTTTTTGCTTAAACTTTAATCTACTAAAGTTGTAAAATCAAATTCTCTGAAATTTTGA